TGTCACCCCGCTACACAGTGTTTGCTAGGCGACCGAAAGGTCCGCTAACCTCCTTTATTTCAACAGCATCTTTCAGGCTGGCCCAAATGGATTTCCGGTGGTTTGGGGGTAAAGTTAACCACCTACGCTTCATTTTCGAATGTGCTCTGGCATGGCAACGCTCTGATTGACCTGACGGAGAATTGCTTGAGTAGAGATAGCTATGTGACCCGCTCTTCATTGCTATGCGTATTTTTTTGAGTAGTGTAATCAGGAACCGTTGTCGGAAAAACCTATGAAACAGAAAACAAGATAGTTAGGTCCTTTTGTGCCGCATAAATCGGCCATGGTTTTACATTCTACTTGAAACAAGGGCGTCTCTCCCGATCGGGCTGTCTGTCTTGTTTACTGCAAAGTATTTACCCACGCAGTCATTTTGGGTCAGATTTGTTGGTTACGACTTTTAGTGTCTAAGACAACGCTTTAGGTGTCTTGGAGCTGATCAATACGTGGAGCTTTAATTTAGGGTCTATGCAGATCGCCGACCGCACATGTAGTTACTCGTGGCACCATGAATGCTCTTTTAAATGTGCTTCGAAACGCTTTTTCTGTTAGCCTCCTCCATTTGTGTCCTCATTTTCCAGGTCATGCGGTAGGTTTTCCATGCGAAATACCGTTTTATTTCCCTTAGCCCTCAGCCAATCGCTCTGCCCTCTCATTGGCGAGTCTTGTTTGGTTCAGGGGTGCACTGAAATAGCGCCCTTCGCCACTTTGGCCGTTTGTAAACAAAGGAGCATCTAGCAAAAGGCGTCGTTTCAAACACTTCTTCGTTTGTTTGTTTGTTTGTTTTTTGCTGTCCTAGACTTGCTTACTTAGTGTCGCCATTGTGGATCCACCCCCAGTGAGCATAACTCTTGCACAAACCGATAGACGTCACAGTTTAGTTCCCTGGACGTTGTGTCTTCCCCCTTTTGGCAAGTGCATGTAACGACCGCATGCAGCGAACCAATGGCAGCAGTGTTTTGCACACGCGTGTATACCAGCGTACTTGTTTTAACGAATTGATGCTCGCGTGGAGGCCTCATTGCCAGGTGTCCTTGCAGATCCGGGACTACGGAGGAAGTGAATTGCAAATGGTCCGTTTGCGGAATCCCTGGGGCAACGACAAAGAGTGGGTCGGCCCATGGAGCGATAAGTCACCCGAGTGGGCCCGCATCTCCCCCGAGGAGCGCATGGAGATTGGCCTCACCTTCGACAACGACGGCGAGTTCTGGTGAGTTGCTGACTTGTACTGTTTCCTTTTCCTCCATGACGTGTCTTAGTACGGGCCCTCACATTCACTGTGGTCTCTTAGTTGGCCTAATTCGTAAGTTGTGATCTGGATTTTGGTGACATCCCGTCTCCCGCCTACTGTGTTGGTGACCGCTATTCGCAGAATTGTTTGAAATCAGTTTGGGTTCAAGGTCACCTTATTAGGTGTGTCGTGAATTCTGTTTATTCAACCCCCTAATCCGGTCGCTCCACCTCCTACACAGGGTTCCCCTTCTCGCATCATGTCGCCAGCCGCGCGAATCCTTAACTCCCCCTTCATTAGCACGAATATTTACCTTGGAGTATCCCCACACATAGGTCTCGGTGTTAGTGCATGTATGACTCACACATCCGAGGTGTAAATACACACGCGCAAACCCCACACGCGACACAACGACATCAGCTATGGTTGACCTCTGAAGTAAACGCTTGTGTCCACGTCCTCTCCGATCTTTTTCTTCATAGCGGGTTCTAGGGAAACGTAATCGGGCCAGGGTTAATTCCGTGGCCCCGGCGTGGTTCAGGACCACATGCTGGGGCCCACAACAGGTGTATGACTTAAGAGAGAACACGGGACTCGATTTTGGCAATATGACCTTGCGTCATCCCTCAAGTAACGTGCAAACGCCGTCGCGAAGCAAACTTGCAGTCATCGACGAATTCACGCACGTCGTCCAGCGTTTTGAACTGTTTGTCCACTAAGGTCAAGTGTGGTGAATATGCCACGTGTGAGAGAACTTCCCATCCAACGTTCAAGATGGTCTTGAGTCGCACGGGCAGCAGTGTGACCTGCTTGCTTCCTTGCCCAGTAAATGGCCTTTTCTAATCACGTTCTTTGTTCACTTTGTTCGCTTATCGGCTGTAGAGTTCGGCAGTCACCGTTTGACCAGTTTCCAGGGGTTCTCAATAAAGTACATCCTTCATGTCAAGCCAGATACTCAGGAGAACTGAGTTACCCGGGATCTACCCACGACTTTTTACGTTTAGAATTCTCGTAGTAAAAATAAACTTTTCGTTACCCGTCACAACTTTCCACAAGAAATCCTTTTTGTTGCAGCGAGAAGCTTGTGTTCATACGCTGACCTAGGTTGTGTTCGCTAAACACATGTGGGGGGATCCAACTTTTAAATTTTTGAATTTTTTCCTTTTGCTGTAAACGCTTTGAAATGGCTGTTTCGGTAACTCATAATTAAGTTGCAAGCTGTTGTTGCGTTTGCATTGAGTCTTCATCCAGTAGAGTGTTTAATTCCGCGTTTTTAAGCTTTCGAGGCTGCTGTCCGGGCGAGGCTGGTCACTAAGATCGAAATCACCACCTCTACTACGTTTGGACCAATAAGTGCAGGTATCATAGGCCACAGCTCCGCCACCAAGATCACTACAAATTGATTCATTCCTTTCCGAATCATTTACTCCTTCCTCTATCTCACTCAGGATGTCGTTCCAGGACTTCAAGCATTACTTCAGCCGACTCGAGCTGTGCCATCTGAGTCCAGAGTTCGATCAAATTGAGTCGAAACGCGGACCACCGAAACGCAAGTGGGAAATGACTCGTCATGAGGGTGAATGGCTTCGAAACTCCACGGCTGGTGGATGTCTCAACAACCGTGGTATGCTTTGCCCTCTTGCCACGTCGAAGGTGACCTTGGTATGCCCGTTTCTCAATCGTGTGTGCGTGTGTGTTGTTTCTTTCTGTAGATACCTTCCATATGAATCCGCAAATCCGTGTTTCCGTGGTGGACGCTGACGAGGCAGACGATGATCCCACCGGCACCATCGTCGTTGGCCTCTTGCAGAAAGGAATGCGAGAGAAACGCCAGTTGGCCTTCTCCATCGGATATGCCATCTATCCGGTACGTGTGCGCGTGTCGCACCACTAAGCCCCCCCTCCCCCTTCCCCCCTCAACCAGGTGTAAATCTCCGCACGTAGAAGCTCTCAGCTCTCACGTAGGAGGTATACCCTTGTTGACTGCCTAACCTGAGCACTCCCCCTCCTCTTCTCCACGCAGTTCCCCCCCGGAGCCCCACCGAACGCCCTGCTGACCCGCGAGTTCTTCTTGAGAACGCCTCTGGCGGCTCGATCAATATTCGCGAATACGCGGGAGGTGTGCGGTCGCCACAAGCTCACGCCTGGTGACTACGTCATTGTCCCGTCCACCTTCCTGCCCAACGAGGAGGCCAAGTTCCTACTGCGCATCTTCTCTGAGCGTCCCTATCAGGCTGGGTTAGTTGTTGGAGTTTGTAGTCTTTGGAATGCAGCAATCATTTGACCGCTTCACAGAGCTCCTTGTTCCATTAGGTGGATATAATAGCTTGTTGAGACGCCATATGCCACTAACTAACAAGGAAAAAGTCTGTGAAAGGACAGAGAGTCGACCCGTTATCCGAGAATCTGACGAAGCCGTGGTGGTGCGTGGGGTTTGCGCGTGTGTATTTGTAGCTCGGATGTGTGAGTCACAGATGTACTAACATCGAGACCTAGGTGTGAGGTTAATCCATGATAAATAGTCGTGTGAATGAAGGGGGACTTGAGGATTCGCGTGGCTGGCGCCATTCTGCGAAAAAGGGGATCCCTGTGTCGGAGGCGGAGCGACTGGATTAAGGGGTTGATTTAACACGATTCACAGCAAGCTCGTGTCTAATTTCCATAGGTGGCAGATGACGTAGGCGTTTTACTTTTGTCGTGTTATGTTATTATGAGTTTACAAGAGCAGTGAGTGTTGAAACTAAAGCGAAAGATTCTCAAGTTGCTTAGATCAGTTAATAGTGGCTGTGTCGACTTCTGTCTACACCGTAACTTTATCTTGGTCGCCTTCTATGAACCAGTGAATGATAACAATGCATGGATTTCCGCCAAAGCGACTAAGTGCTATCAGTTTGACTCCTTGTGATGCAACGTGGGGACTTCGTAACCCGATATTCGAATGGAACTCACTCCGTTTCTCCTCTCGCCTGTCAGAAAGTAGAAACCTTTCTGGGTCAATTCACGTCTGCGTGTAAAAACACAGCAAGAAGCACGGAGGTGAAAGGACGGGATTTGCTTCTAATGAATGCGTTTTTTACGTGTCTGGTTGGGATAATTGCAGTGGGGCATTTATTTGCAAGGTTTGTCGACGTGGCCAAGCAGTGTCCGTGGCGTAGTTCACACGGTTCCCCCTTTTTATCGACAGGGCATAATCGCTTGCCCCAACTACGCTAGACCGCACACCGCCTAACAGACACCGCGAAAACATGCGTTAGGGTGGGAAATCCTGCAGCAACACCTGTCGTATTCCTCTGACCTAGCCCCTCCAGGCTCCAATCTGTTTCGTTCTCTGCGGGAACTGTGAGCCTCTGAAAAGAGTTACAACTGCCTTCCTTTTTAACAAACCACGTGGACCTAGATGGGTTGCGTGTGATGCGGTTTGCATTCACCCAATTATAGAAGCGAATCACTGGCTACATTTGGTCATGTGCTCATTGGGGAACGCGAGCTACCTGCTTCTTTTACATATTGTCTCTCAGATCAGACTGACGCCGTTTCTGTCTTTTTCAGGGAACTCGATGACCAGATAGCGTTTGGAGTTGGACCTATTGCGGTATGTCGTTTTTGTCTCCTTTCATAGCTACATCTTACGATTGTTCTAATGACTCCTGTTCTATCCGGTTGCTAGTTCTTTTAATTGAAGAACGCCCTAGGTTACCGAAGTAACTTAGCCGTCTGAATAGGCACCATTTGAAAACTATCAGATTAGAATTCCAGGAGAATGTTGCTTTGTGTGGTTGCAGCACAACAGACCCTGGGTGCTGGGGTTTGTCTCAGTCAACTTCGCGAGAATTTATTTGTCTTTTGCACGCATTTGTGAATCCTGGCGTCTTAGGCATTCCTGGAATGCTTTCCCTGGTTCACTCACTAGGAGTCGAAGTGGCAGCAGTTTGGCTTAAATCAGTTTACACAATTTCCGCCAGTAGTCCAAACCATTTTCATTTCCGCGACGAACTATCGGAGTCCAACAAGGGCTGAACATGCTTTTCGACATCTTTAAGAGCTACATCGCATTCCGTAGCACTTTGAAGATCTACGAATCACCCGGATTTATGCGAAGAGACTAGGTTCCATCGATCATCACCAGGGTCCACTGTAATCTACTGCAACTTCTAACATGCTTACATTCCCCGGTTTTTGGAGTTCAAGATTAACGACCGATTGTGGTGGGTGGAAATGTTTCAAACCTTTCGACCGATGCCACAATTGTGAACGGTTTAAGTTGAAATCCCTGCGCTGTCATGCCCACTACGAAACGCCGCTGTTGGTGCTTGTATCGGAGCTACCAAGCTTATTTCACCCTCTTTAATGCAGTCAACATCACCCTTCAGACTTTAATGGAGGCGTTTTGAGGCGGTAGTCTGATTACAAGCAACGGTGCTGAATAGAAGGGTGTGGAGTGATGTTGTGCAATTTTTTGTTGACATTTAATCTGTGGGTGCCGACAATTTGTCACTGGTACTAGGTGCCTGCGTGAAATAATGCATTATTACCACCTACATGATGAAATGCCATTGATGGCAGTAGGATGTGGCTGTACTTTGCAATCAACTCGTCACGATCTGTCTGTTCAATCACCATTGATTATCACAGTTTAAATACCTTCAAGGTCACCTCGTTCTGGTGTTTGATTGGAGTGCATTTCTGCCAATGAATTCAGCGTCGTGCGTCGATAATTTTACTTATCCTCTGCTTTGTGTTTTCGCGGCGGGCGATGTGAACACTGCCTTCGACAGCTTCAATGTACTTTTTCTTTGCGCGCTCGCACTTCCGTTAGCTGGGACACCTCTTCGCACTTTTTCTCGGACTAGTCCGATTTTACCAATCAGCGGCTTGTCTAGCTCGATTTTTGTCAGATTCCGAGGTTCTCGCGGTGACCCGTGTGTGTGTGTGTGCATTCCACGCTCGACATGCGTGTGTAGGTGTCGCGTCTCTACTTAGCGACTTACTCTGACTCGCTTAAAGTGCACGAACCTCGTCAGTCTGATCTGCCACACATCGCAGCTAGAAGATTGACTTGTGATTTCACCTGCCCCACTGTAAAATTATGAATTTTAGCCCACCCCTGCGAGCACTAAGGATGACGAAATGGTAATGAAGCTGAAGGCTGCCTTCGAGGCGATTGCCGGCGACTCAGGAGACATCGAGGCAGAGGACCTGCGAAACATCCTCAATCGTGTCTTCGAGAATAAGGGTGCGTGTCCGTGGGACTTCAACATACTCGAAATAACCAGACGTCTGCGCTCACATTCAAAGCGCCTTTTGAGTCACCTAGGACACACCACTTGAGATTAGAATAGTGCATCGTCCTATTGCTTTCTGATGACATTCGCGACCTTCTTCTTCTTCTCTCTTTCAGTCGGTCAGAACTTCGAAGGTTTCAGTCTGGAGACAGCGCGAAGCATGGTTGCGCTTATGGACGTATCCTTTTCACAGCTTCATCAGCGCCAACAGATTAGAAATACCTGCCGCCGAATCTCAGCGGTGCGATAGTGTCCCACAGTGCACGAATTCGCCTGGTGACCAATTATTGATTGGATTAATTTTGGCAGTTCGCTGCAGGCCAATGAGATTCCAGTGTACCTCCAAACTCCCTTCCCGTTTTTTGTGCATGTGATTTTCCTTAAACCCGTATTGTGCGCGAATGTAGGTTGACACAAGCGGTACTCTCGGTTTTGAGGAATTCAAGACACTGTGGTACGAATTGCGGCTCTGGCTTGTAAGTAAAGCGTTTACGATTCTGCCTGTAATGCGTTTCGTCGAATCCTTCACTCTCACGTGTCTTGCGATCGTTTGTAGACGATCTTCAAAGAAGCCGACACCAGTTCTAATGGAAAACTGAAGACATGTGATCTGCGCACAGTTTTGAGTGATGTTGGTACGTGAATTGGTGCGAACACCAGTCTACTTCCTCGACAAATTGGCCTACACTGCTTCTTTTTCAGGCATCAAGATTAGCAATGAAATCTTCAAAGCCATTGTCTGCCGTTATGCCTACCACGGAGCGATTGTCTTTGACGACTTTATTCTCCTCCTCGTGCGTTTGATCACGGTGTTTGAGAAGTTCAAGGAGAATCTCGACTACGGCCAACACAAAGCATCCTTCAATGTGGACGATGTACGTTTTTTGTCAGGAGTATTATTGTCCCCCACCACCACTCCCCCTCTTTCACCTTACCTACCAGGTCCGATCGTGCTTGCCCAATTTCTCTTCTCAAAACTTCCTCTTCTGCAGAAATGCCCTCCAACATTACCTCTCTCTCTCTTTCTGTTTTAGTTTTTGCGTTGTGTCCTCTACACCTGAGGGCCACGGCCGATGCCCGGCATGGTGATGTCCTGTCCCGTCTTTCAGTGAATCTTAAGTCACACAACTCTTCTCTGTCCCTTATTTGTTTTAAATTTGTGCTTCCGATCGTGACTATCTTTAATAATTACGTGCTTTGACTATTTTATAAAATTTCGTCCTGATTTGATTTACTTGACTCCGATTCTAACCAATCGTGAGGCCGCCTGACAAAGTTAAAGTTTTTTTTATCATGAGTTAGCAACTTCCTTGCTGAAACACGATTTCATTGTATGATCTGGAAACGGTATGATAATGCAGTCATTGAGACTGGCCAAAGTACATCAGTATGACTGACTTGTTATTTTTTTACACCTAATATTTCATAGGTCCTCTCACAGCCAAGTAATCAGACGTTAGTTAAGTTAATCAAACCCTAATCGATTCCTGAACTGCATTTTATGCTCCTTGATAAGGTTTTCTGTTATGCGACACGTTCCTAATGCGTTTTGCTTATGTTATCTGGTTTTAAGACAATAGAGTGCAACTTTAGGCGTGTGGACTTTACGCGACACGCTCAGGGCACTGTAAGAATGTGCGAAATTACTCAAAATTGAATTGAAAGAGGCTACAGACATGTTGGCAGCGCTTAGTCGTAAGTTGTCCTAAAACTACCCGGAAGGAGGTCGTTGGGGGGCTGCTGTGCCGCGGATATTTCAAGGTCAACAGAGTAGGTCTTCACCGCATGCTCCAGCGGTACTCCGTTTGTGAGAAGACCTGGTAGATTTCTAAGTTCTGCGGTAACATCAGACTGGTGCGCGGCCACCAAAGTCTCGAACAATTTGAGGGCTCGGAGGAGAGCCGAAAGGGAATTGTTGAAGTCGAACCTGTCGATTAGAGCGTACCTCTCGGAGAATGATATCTTCATCTAAAAAGAAACGCGTCATTATGAAAGACAAGAGGAACGCAAGAATGCAGTCTGGTGGTGGTAGGGGGAGGGGGGATGGGGGGCTTACGGGTTGATCCACCAGCCGGGCTAAGCCGTGGATTCGACTGGTCGAGAATATCTTCGCTTTGGACCCGCGTGTGACTGAAAACGCGGCCAACGGTGACTCCTTGGCGTAGTGGAATGCGCTGGCGAGGTTTTCACGTAGCGTCGCGTTGTCAAGACCCGCGGAAATCACCTGCAAGTTCCTTCGAGCCACACCTGCCAAGCTGTCGTCGTTGGACTGCAGTGACAGGAGCGAGAAAATGGCACAGTGCAGCAGCAGAAGCACAGCGGTGAAAAAACAAACCACCACGTAGTGGTAAGCCTCGCCGGACCCACTTTCACGCAGGCGGTTCGGATCGGTTGAGAGGAACGACAGACTCGACTTCAGTATTGGCTCAGTGAAAACCAAGGTCACAATCTGGTTTGACGTGGAGGGCATCTGATGTGAGGGGTGCAGCACGCTTTCATTCAAACTGGCGTCGAGGGTGTTTTTAAAGAGCAAGAGCAGTGACAACGCCGCATGAGTTCGAACCTTAAAAATGGCTGAGATGATAATTTTGTACCTTCAAGTAAAAGTCCCCGACAAATGCACGGCACAGAGATGTAACCAGGGGGCCAATAACGTGATCGCCAATCTCGTAGCCCTGAGTCTCAGGAAGACACAAAGTAATAAGATTTTGAATGCGCAAAAGCCTTCCCGATGCCAATGCCGCGTTCCATCGAATCTTTTCAGCTCCGCTGACGTTGGAAATTTTAAGTGAACTCGAAAATACCTAGCAAGTGAGTGCAGATAAAAGGGGACCTACTGCAATGATTTCTACAAATAAATCGATAGGAGTCGTGGGAACAGGCCTTGAAAAGGCTATTTCAACGGTATTGGCTAGGGCGTGAATCGCGTGCTCACACCGCCGACCGTCTAATCCAGTCCAGCTCTCTTCTGGTCCATGTTCTTCGGCGTGTAGGGTCTTGGATTCAGCATCTGGGAAGATGGAAGAACAGAGTTCTCTGACGTAGCCTCAACAATGATTAAAAAAACTTACAGGCAAGTTTTCAATACTCCTTGAATAGCGCAGTTTAACTGATGGGAACCAGGCTGGGTGATTAGCTTCAATGTACACACTTCGAGACAATAGGCCATTTCACAGGCAACGCTGGATGTCACAGAGCCAAGCATTAGCATTAGGGAATTGACTGTTTGAGAAAGGAAGTCGGGGTGAATAAAGGGGCTTCTAGAATGGATGTCAGTGTACCTAATTCATCGACATACTCTAAAATCGCTAAGCTGCAGAGCTTTCGGAGGGCCTTGGCTTCAACTCCGTCGCGTCGTTCTCTGCAGAGATCGGTAAAAAGCGAAATAGCTCGAACACATAAATCAGCCAAGCTATCGTCGGTGGAGAGTATAGATTGTAGCTCAAAAAAGGACTCAATGACTTGACAAGCCCACCAACATTCTGATCCCTCCGTATTGGCCTAAAATTTGCGGTAGAAGGAGTTACAACGCCTGTTTGAGTAGAAAAAGATAAATTGGATATGAGCGTCTAGGTTAAAATAGTTAAAACTTCATAAAATTACTGAGAAAATTTGTTCCAATGACAACACACAACAAAAAAACTAAACAAATAGAATCAATGAATCGAATTGACTTTTATACAAAACTAGACTACTACACGTGTTTATTTTACTATGTGCATTATGACAGAGGCCATAAAGCCAACTAGAACATTTTTTCCACAATCCAATGACTTGTAACCACGTAAAAATTCCAAGTTCAGTCGACTGTGCACATTTTATCGCAACTTACACATTATAAAATGCATACAAAATTTTAATGATTCTCAAAGATGTGCGAATTCGTTTTAATAATATGATAAGCAAATACCTCGGTACTTATGTCAGATTTGAGTTTCTAGAAATCTATAATTACTACTAGGTATTCCATATGGATTTTAGATCAAAATAGTTTTTAAAACCTGTAAATGCATTTTCACGCAAGAATTGCACCCACATATACAGTATCTTAGCTGAACTAATCGTTTTAATTGAATTATCGAAGTATGGAAGTAGTAAAATGTCATAAATATAATGTGATGATCACCAAAATCAACACTACCAGGCTGTAATACACAGAAGAAAATATAAAATTTTAAATGGTTTGGGTTAATTTCACGGTTATTGGTAAAAAAATTACTATCATAAATACTAGTACTTGAACTTTGTTTAAACTCACTAACACCAGATGTCCGAAAACAAAAATTGGAGCAGCGCGACATACAGTGGCGCGGGTGTTAACCGGTACATACACACAAAACGAAGGCGCCAAAATAAAGTCAGTTTTTAGGCGAATTTTGTTTTTCAATGGAGGCAAAAGATAGGTCAATAACGGAAAAATGTGGTGAAACGGATACTAGTGACAAACGCATCTGCGATCACATCCTGAAGGAACTGCCTGTTAGCACCCTCAGTGATCGGGGAGAATGCATAAATTATGGAGAAAACAACAGTGCAAAGCCTGAAAGACGAATCATCCCCTGGATTCCCCCACCAGCTAAAACAACAAGTAGCGAATCTTGCTCTAATTTCATTTTTTTAAGGAGCAAGCCGCTTTACTTATCCTTCTGATAAAGGAAACAAAGCGCCTTTGAGTCACAGGAGTAGTCGCCGTTGCCAGACTTCACCACCTGTATGCACTTTCATGATGCCAACGCTCTTAGGTTGTTCAACTAGGGAAAGTCTCAAATTTACACAATTGCAAAGAATCGGAGAAGGAATGGGCACGTCCAGCAGTTAGCTCTGATGGAGAACTTGATAAAGTTCCAGCCACCAACAAACTTCCAATACAACCGCGTTGTCGTCGAATCACAGAAAACCTGGCGAAAGATGTTAGAAACGAGGAGGCCTGGAATTGGTCCATAATGCGGCAGTGGGTGCGCGAAATCGACCAATCTGTCGATGTACTATCCGAGTCTATTCGAGGTCTTCTCAACTCAAATCCACAAGTAAGGTGCATTTTCACGTTTTTGAAGGATATCTTTCGTAAATTACACACATCTACTGGATTGCGTGCTTCAGGACAAGCTTGATCAAGAACGGGCATTACTCGACCAAGCAGAAAGTATAAAGAGGGCTACGAGCGAGGTTACTAAGACAGACTTCCCAAGGCTTCTCCCCGACTGCAATGGACGATTTTATGACTACGATGAACAGAAAGTGATGATGGGCGCCGAACAGAGGGTAGAGACACAGCTAATGCAAGCTGAATTAAATAAAACAAGTAAGCAAATTATCTCGAACGTTAATGCTTACATTAAATTGTGTCAACTCTAGATATCAATGAACAATGTAGGATCTAAAATTGAGTATCTTAATGTTTTGTTTTTATTTTAAATTTGCAAAAGTGAAAACAGCATTTAATATTGCCTTAAAGGTACTTACCCCAACTTAAGTAGAAATCTAAATTTTTTTATTTATCCCAGAAATCGAACTGGAACAAGCCAAAGCAGAGCGTGATGCTCAGGAAGCCGAGATGCGACGCCTCCTGACAGTTCAAAATTCCCTCGAAGCCCTTAAAGGTCACTTACAGCTTCAGCTGAGGCACAAGTCGGCGGAGTGTGAACGGTAAGCGACCTGCCCTACTTGCACCCTCAATCCCCACTCTACTCACACTAAATGACACGCTTAAGGTTGACGTCTCAGTTGCGCCAGATGGAGACCAAACGCTTCGACGGACTTAAAGAACTCTCCGACAAGCTTGAGGCAGCGATGGCCACAATTGATAAGCTGCGTCGGGAGCGAGAAATCATTAAGCGGGCCGCCAAAGGTCAAAAGAAAAGAGCCCAAAAAGCCGAAGCCAGACTGGGGGAAGTTGAGACGGAGATCAACACACTGAGGGTACGTTTGTGAATTACGCGTTGTCTAGGGCGTGAAAGTTCCACCTGAACTTACAACAATCCATTTAACAGGCTAGTAGTAAATTGGGCACCTCCTCTGAGGACTGGTGCTCGGTAAAATGTTGAGAATGAGACAAATGCAATGCTTATCGCCTTTCCTCATTTTTCAGACACGATTTAACGAACCGGTCAACGATAAAAAGTTTGCAGGGGACGAGGAAGATGCTAGGGACAACTCAGAAGACTTGGGGGAGCCTTCTCTGGCCAGACCCACCGAGGCCGATAAACAAGAAGAAAGTAAACACAGCACAGTTTCGCCTGCGATGGTTGGAGATGTTGTCACTCGGCTAGAAGAGGTATGCATGCCAAGGCTAACGAGAAAAGCATTGCGGCTACGGTTCACCCAATTCAACTTTCAGATCGGAGAGGCTGGCGTAGTCGCATCCATACCCTCTCCTAGTCATTCAACCACGGGATAAGTAGGCAAAAGAGCTTCAGGCATGTGACATCTCTGAGTGGCCACTGAAATTCTATGCACCCGAGGGATCGTGCACAACGTGAGATGCTGTGAATCATTCAGCGTTTGGCAGTGGGCGTTGTCCTATTTTCCATGCCAGACGCCGCTGCGCGACTGGTAAGACAGCGCAAAAAAAGGCGTTAACCAACAACGCCGATGAAGGCTGTGAGGATGCTGTTTTTGACGCCTTCCTAGCCGTAAAAAGGGATACCGCGCGGCCAGAGTTTAAGCCAAACATTTTCAACCACGCATTGAAAGTAAGGCGGCAATGTCGTGAACTAGGGTTTCCAATACTTCAATTGGAAGGACCAGAAGAGGACTATGAAAGCGCACTAAGTCAGTTCCCAAAGTGGTATCGTGATCCTTCATTTCACAAACTAGGAGTTTTTGCTGGTGGACGAGAGAGACGCATGTCCAGTTACCCTCAAGTAAACGAATCGTTGCTCTTCATCACATTGCCCTAATGCTGTGCTTTTAACCCAGGAGAACCGACGACTCCGTGAGCTGGCATCCAGCTACGAGAATCGCTTGGCCGTGGCGGAAAGAGAAATCAACAATCTGCAAGTGAACATCTCGCAAACAGAGGACCGCCTCAGCGAGTACAGAAACGAGTCGATGGAGCAGTGGAGACGAATGCAGAAAGAGGTATGGACGGGTGTAATGTCAGGGCCATTCGTGGTTTAGAGTTTCACCTTTGAAATCGGTTATTTGTGATTACAGACACAGAAGCGTGAGATGGGAGACGAACGTCCCGAAAAGTCACAAGCAACCTCCCCAAAAGTAAGGCATTGTTTGACGCCGCGCGATTTAAGCAAACGGCTTTGCGGGCATAACTGATACGCAATTATACACACTCCCAGGATGAACTCCACAAACAAGTGGCCACCGATCCGCACATTGGCGGCACCTCCAGAATGGAGGAGATCATTGAGGACCTGAAGCGTCAGCTGACTCAGCAGCAATTGGCCGCCAGTGAAGCGGAGCGCATTTCAGCCTCGCGATTGGCTGAGTTGCGCGCACAGCTCGCCCAATCGGATGCCGCAAACAGGAGTCTGCAAGCCTACCTGACCTTCCTTAAACGCTCCTACAGCAGCATCTTCGATGGAGACGGAGGAGCAACTAATGTGCCGGCACAAGTGGGAAATCAGCCCACCACCACCACCACCACCACCACCGCCCCCGCCACAGTTGAATCCTGATACTGAATGATTTAGGAAACGTTGTTTCTTTTTGCGCCACCCCTGACGGTGGCAGTGTTTTTTAACCCCCAACACCGTTGTTTGCTCAATCATTTTAATGACTGAGTTTGTTTTAACCAGTCGAATGAATTTACAAAAAAATCGTTTCCTGACGCTGTACTGAGCGTATTTGTTTGGTGGCTTAGATGTTAGACCTGTCGGTAAGGCCGGTAAGCCAGTCGTAAGAGAATTTACATCATGATGATCTCCTGAAAACACAAACCAACGTATAATACCAACAGTACCGACCGTTGTGTTATCGAGGATGACGGCTATGATGTCCGTCCACCAAGCGACGTTGGTTTTGAGCGAGCTGTCGCAGTCGCTGCTCAACTTCACGTCGTCACCTTTAGATGATAGTTCAACGCCTTGAGGGGCAGGGAGTCGAGAGTGCAAATCTGTGATCAGGCTTTCGAAGACCTTCGAGATAAGAGCGTCGCAGAGGCGGAAGACGTCTGTGCGCAACGGCTTGTTCTCTTCCATGTCGGGCTGAAGTCAAAAAGAACAACTACGCCAATGCTAAGCACTACGTCGGTACAAGAGCTTGATGCCACAACTGGGAAATTCACTGTTCTTTCCAACGAGCAAAACTCTGTCGACCTTCCGACAGATTGCAGATTGGTGGGACATACCAACAAAAAGGGATAAAACATGCCCCTCGCGTAACATTTCCGACACGACAACCACCCGAACAAGCAGTCTACGTCCAGTTACACGGGGGTTGTTCTATGAATGCCACAGCTCACCCCCACAACACTTCGCCCCAATGGGAGTGCGGATTGAGAAGCAAGCAACTGTGGTTAGGACCCGCGGGTTACCTGCAGGCACAAGTGAATAGTTCTTTTGAGCAAATGCATGCTGGGCCGGAGGCAGTCGTAGTAAACGGCGACGAAGGCTCGCAGCGTGGAGATGGCCTGGACGCGGAGGGCGTTGGGCTGGGGGGCCTCGCGGGGCGACGCGGCCGCGGGACCGTTCGAGTCGGCCGTCCCGGCGTCCCACGCGAGGTCGGCCACCTTCGGGTGGATCAGGCGGAGGCACAGCTGAAAGGAAAAACACCAAGACCCTTCGATTAGCCAGACACCCAGGGCTGCTTATCGCGGTTAGCTCAGCCCGGGGAGTGTTCTTGAAGGACTGCAGCTCGATTAACAGTGAGTGTTCATATTTGCTGCATACATTTATGGCTTTACAGTTACCCTTTACTCCGCTTATTGGCATAATATTGATTGCTTCGGACAGCCGCATGAATTATCCACTGTTTCCGAACGTCTTAGTTGCTATTCGATTCCTTACGCTGTTGTTATTTCAATACCCGATGACACCGTCTCTACTTACAGCACTTAAGTATAGCACTTAAGGTAAATGTGCAAAGTCCGTAACAAGCAATGTTAGCTTTTAAGTCGGGTTGGCAGAAAATAGGTCTTACAGTGCGAATCAGTGCATCAGCCAGTTAGGACGGCCTAGACTCTTTGAAATCGCATTCAGTGATGGGGTATTGATGTCTGCTAAGACGATACGCAGTACTAAGATGTCCAATGGGATTAGTGAAAATAACATGGACATGTTTCGTACTTTTGGCATTATTAATTATCGATTTTTGATAAAGTCATTCAACCTGGAATCATTTTCAACGTCCAAAACGCACAGCACCTCATCAAAGTGTCTCGGGATGATGCCTTTAGGGATTTGTGAGCAATTTACTAATAATAGCCACCTGCCTCGACAAGCCAGCACGTTGAAAACGAGTCAGCGAAGCGTCGAGATAGGATGTTGTTCAGTGGACCTACGCCAGACACCACGTCCGCGGGGGCATCTGGCTTGGAGTCTTTCCAGTGCTCAAACACCTTCGAAGACGACATCGATTTGGACGGTTTCGCAATGAGCAGTTGGTGTATCTTTTAAGTAGAGGAGAAAAAAAAGTAACACCAACTGAAGGCAAACAGACTTCAGGTAAACCGCACATGAACCTCCCCTAATTGTGCGAATCCTTACCTCCAGAATGGTGGGTTTTGACAGGATGGTGCTCCAGATGTTGAGAATGCTTGCCTTGACGAGGGCGGTTTTTGAGGGCTCGTCGGACGGCCGAAAGAAGACGGTGTTGAGGGTTGGCACCAAGTCCGAGAGCAGACCAGGACGCAGGCGATGGTAGGGTGTGGTGGTTACCAAGGCGTTTATCACCTTCAGGAGAGCCAACTTATAAATGGAAATAAAAGGAGAAGCTGAATGGCAGAGGCGGGCAGTATTGGTGCACATTTAACGACCAATCGGATTACGGTGAGACCCTAAATAGCCAATGAATGGACTGGAAAATTTAAAATGGAAACAAAAGGAGAAGCTGAATGGCAGAGGCGGGCAGTATTGGTGCACATTTAACGACCAATTGGATCACAGTGAGACCCTAAATAGCCAATGAATGGGTTGGAAAATAAAAACAGATTTGTCGATAGACGAAGAGCAGAATCTGAAGCAAATCACACGGCCCAACCTGATGACGGTGAGACTTTTCTGAAAGCAAAGCCCAGGCCAGCCTGCGGTGTAGGGAACGCAGTTCCGCGGCAAGTTTGACAGAGTAGGGAATGAACGAGGCGGATTGCCAGGTGGATAGCTCCTCTGCAACCGAAAAGCGTTTGTCCATGCTATTTAGCAGAGTCCACAGCATGATGATGAATATCTAGTATGGAAAAAACCAAGAGTGCTATTGTACACGGACACTGGCATTGCATTTTAAGCCGGCCAAGTAGACGCCTCTCAACTTTTACAAAAACCGCCAGCTGTGTACAAAACGCACTACTCATAATTAGTAAGTAAGAGGTATTTTGAACGAACCTCGCGCAGTTTGTAATCGCCTTCCTTGAGGATGATAGTCACGAGGTCGGGTTGAAAGGCCCTTTTTCCTGCTCGGGCGGATGGAGAAGAAGGCACAGCAGGTTCGGGCATGAGGATGGGCCACACCTCCTGGCAGATTTTCTTCGATGTCGCCAGTAGATGCCGAAGACAGAATGTGGCCAAGAGACGCGTCTTTTTCTGTGGTGAGTAAAGAGCGCTCCGTGAAAATGAGCCAAAAATCGGTCTGGCTTAAGCATATGCACTCGCCTTACTGAAATACCTGGTTATGTGCATACAATAGTAAAACTGGCAGTAAGGTGCTCACTTGATTCTGTGAAACCCGGGAACCTGCCCCGGCGTCGGGGTCAGGCGGTCCACAATCGCCCCCTCCCACGTCGCTGGTCTCCCCACTGCTCGAGAAGCCGCTAGACGAGAAGTAAGGAGCGTTGTCGGCCTGTCTGCCGGCTGGCGGCGGCTGTGGCTTCCTCACGGAGCACACGGAGACCCACAGTGCCGTGGTTACCTTGACGACGCGTAGGCGTTCCAGGATTGGCTGGTGATCTCTGGAGCCGACAACACGGAATTTACGGTGACACAGCAGCTGCATCAGCGCGTGAACACACGAGAGCTCCGTAATTGGGTCGTCCTGTGTGAGAAAAAAAAGCAAGAAGGCTTCATCATTCATGAGCTCCATTCATCCTGTGAAGCGAAGGTGACTTCAAGGTGAGACGCCGTTGTCATGACCACCGTAGTAAAGAAGGATTCTCCAACAACTCAAATGTCCCACCGGATTAGGGGGCTGAACTACCTAACCAAGGTCCCTCAGCTGTTTCAAACACACCCGCATTGCAGACTAAAATTTGTAGCCAGTTTTCACTGATTCTTGTAGACATTACCTTGGGAACGGTTCAGATTCTGCACAACACAGGATCCTTGTTAAATTCAGCGGGTCTACCACTATTTGATTCGTTGCAAAAGACCAAAATCGCCACTTTCAAACTTGTTGAACGTAGGGAGTAACTGGCGCCTTCTACACTAACGGAATCGTTGCCTTGTTAGAACGTGTAAAAGAATGGATAAGAAGCCACGGGAATGGCATTTTTCAAACTAATAGAGTTGAGACAGCAACTTGCCACATTTGCATCCTCGAGGAGTTTTATCAGGCAATCAAGTGTCTCCTCAGCTAGCTGCCTATCTCCACCGGAGAGAAGAAGGTCGGAGTGCTTGGTGGTGTGCAGGAGGGGCCGTTGGCGCGCTCCCAGCGCCGCCTTATAGTCCACCGAGTGCAGGTACAGCAGACAGGCGATGGCCGCAGCGGAGGCCTGACGAAGCTCCACAGAGGAAGAGGAGGCGTCCGCCGCGACACCGAGAACAGCACGCAGAAGCGACTTGAAGGCATCCTCTTCGAAGAGTGCCATATTTCCTTAAGGGGGAAGTGCCGACGCTAACTACACACAACTATGAGCCACAGTCCACCTATAAATCCCACCAAACAGCTCCACGCCTGAACGTGACCGAGATTTTAATGATAATTTACAAATAAGAACTGCCGATGATGATACGGGTGGGCGTACCTCGGACGACTCCCTCAACGAGGCGACAAAACAGGACTGGCGAGACGTCGCCAACCACGAGCCACGAGGTGAGTTGAGATATCAGACTGCTGAAGACACACTTCGATTCTGACAGATCAGCGTCGGAGTTTTCGGTAGAACGAGAGCCAAGTGTTGGGAAGCGGCGTTTCTGAAGTAGATCAGTGAGCGCTTCCACTGTGAGTTCAGTAGATGCGAAAATCGGGCAGGCACTGGGCCAAGTAAGTGCTGCTTTATTTTCGCACATGGTTTCCACGGTAGTGAAGGTGCTCTGCTGAAATACAGATTATTTCAAACTGGAAGTTGTCAATCTATGGGCAGCCGACCCAGTCCCTAAGGAACAAATTATAATGCAAAGCCAATTGAGCCAAGAAGAGTGGTCTGAATCCCACAAACTTAGTCTTGATTGAAATAGACTATCCGCTAGTGCAAACCAGGGTGTGTCAGCTGCAAATTCGCTTGAAATGGAATGCTTTTGGTCATGGACTTCATGGCCCTTGATAAATACTGGCAAAACGAGGATGAGAAATCTGACGGCAAAATAAAACAAAAATATGACCGCAAAATGGCTAATTTACTCTACATTACGGCAAATCTTCAATGAAAAACATTGACAAAAGGTCATTAATTGGTGTAAATTAAGGCAAACGGACCCACAAGTCTGCTGACAAAGTATTTGATATTTGCTGCTAGTCGTGAATTAACTAAAGTCCTATGTGCATAATCGCAATAGGTAAATTACTCCACTATGTCAGCATATACAAGGCATGTCAAAATATGTCCAAACTTCGGATGTGGCAGTCTAAAAACGAACACGCAATGTGGCAACTGGGGACCGGGGTTTTCATAAGCCGACACAACTCATTACGAAACTTCAATACTTGATCTATGTAGGTAACAGTGATACAAGATAAGTGTTTATCAGGGCAATTAAAAAGGCCCGTTTTCATATGGAAGATGGCAAAAATGGCACAGAGAATTGAGCGCCTGGTAGTAGAGAGCATATGTATCTCCACAAAATTGTAGTTCCAATGTGGGAGATAATCCACGGTGATAAAATAACACAAAACCATCACCACATCTCATGTGGTAAATTTTATGGCTGATATTGCAATGCACCACCACACCGATTTATCAACACTTATGTACTGACATCACAATTGTAAGCTGCGTACATACACGAAAAGCTACCCTCAATTAGGAGGCTGTACTTTCCACATGGAAACGTGAGCCACAACTCACGCATCAACGATATGTTAATTGGTCAATACAAATTGCCGCCTTTTACTTCCCTTTCATCCTTGACGAAAAGGCTCCCATAAAAACTTAACAGATCTCCTACTATTTTTAAAAACATTAAAGATGGAGATTTCGTATTAATATTGCAGTAAACAATCATTCCGAATTTCCTGATCATACATTTCTACACAATGCTACACTGCAGATTAACAGGATTTTAACGCGAATGCTTTTAGGAAATAAAGAACGTTTTTGCAGTACGATGTAAAATAAATTGTCACAAATAGACATTTTATGCTTAAATTAACATTTGTAAAATGTAGTGACGTGCAGGGGCACAGACATATTGGATCCCTCAGAGCTCTGTCGATCTTCCGTCATCGTGCACCTGAATGGCCCAACTTGATGAATTTTGTGGGCCCCAGCATGTGGTCATGAACTACACCGGCGCCACAGAATCAACCCTGACCTGATCACATTTCCCTAATACTCGCGATTAAAAAAAAGCTCAGAGTGGATGTGGACGCAACCGTTTAATTCAGAGCTCAAACACATTGGTTTCGTAGTGTTGTGTGTTGGGTTTCTGTGTGTATTTAAACCTCCGATGTGTCAATCATGCATGAGCTAACATCAAGACCTAGGCTTGGGGATAATCCAAGATAAATATCCATGTGAATGAAGAGGGAATTGAGGACCTGCACGGCTGGCAACATGCTGCGAAAAGTGGAACCTTGTGCCGGAGGTGGAGCGAGGGGATTAAGGCAGTTTGAATAAACACGATTCGCAACATGATCATCAGCTAACCGAGACAATGACGGGTGAGTTGCACAATATAACATACGGCACTTAAAGTATTAAGGACTTCGATTGACAGCAACTTACTAACGGTTCTGACCCATAGTATGTCAATAATAGTTCGCTTTATATAGTTGACTTCACTATGGGAGGGGACCTAAAGGACCTCCACTCAAACGTGCAAAAAGTAAAAGACCATGAGAGAATAAAAGCGAAAAGCATAAATAATTCTTTTTTATGTGTGGGTTTCGTCTACTGGGCCACAATCGTTTACGAGAACGTCTTATCCAGATGCTTTTTTATATTATATGATCAAATCGGGTAAGGCTAATCAGCGTTATTTTGTCAGTTTTCTAGTACATTGCAATGTATATATTTTTCAATTAAAACTTAAATTTTTCCAATCTCTGGAGATTTATTTATCGTTCTACGTGACTTTTATCTGTTTGAGTTTGCCATGACAAAAATTGCTTACAGAAATTCATTTTTTCCAAAATTAGGCTATTAGAACATTGGAAATTTTTCCACTTTCCTGGTTGCTAGGAAAATGGGCGAATAAGAAACCATTTGACGGCCCGAGTTTAAACAAAATAGCTTGTTGATAAATTGATATTATATGCTCATGAAAAATGGAACCAAAATCAAACCTTAGGCAAATTATACATGTCAGTTACAAATAATTATTTTTACAAACAATAATATTAAAAATATATCGTGAACAATCCAAGATATTGAAAAGACTTTTTGGAAGTTTTTCAGTTTTGGAAAGTGAGGCTGGTACAACGCAAAGTGTAAGTGTTGAAAAAAAAAGCAGTTGGCCTATTTCTTTCATCATGTTTTTTTGGCTAACTGTTATTATTATATTTGTGTGGACAAATATGCATTTTTTACCCTAATTTTGGCCGATACACTGCACAGCCTTTGCATTTTAGAAGCTTGGCATTGTGTTTTATTAAAATTTGATATACGTAGGTCTTATTACCATATAAAGAAAAGAGATAAATTTGTTTAACTGCATTGATTAAATTCCAAGCAAATAGCCTTTAGTGTGACTATTTAAGATCGCTGTGTCGTTGATTGTTGTACTGTTGATCGTTGATCGGTGTCCTCCGTTCTACGTTCGCTGCTGTCCCTGTTGCGCACAATTTTTGGGATGTCTGAGAATCCGGATACTTTAATCGGAACCGAAGAGCCAGCTCAAGCAAGCGTCCCTGGCAAGAAACCTATTGATTATTTTTGCTCAGGGTTTAATCGATTTTTTCGTTCTTACGTGTCAGTATTATTACTAATGATCAATTAAGTTATACTTAAAGTTATAGAAAGGAATTTAAAATGTTGTGAGCGTTAATTGCTGCGTCTTTACGATTTGTCCACGTATATATTACAATCATTTTCATTTGATGTTTTTTCGTTGCACGTTGAATATTTTATCATACTGATGCATTTAGTTTGTAGTTTAACTAGTTTATTACGTTGCAGTGGTTGAACCTCACGAAAAAAATGGTGACGATTCCGCGGACCCTGAACACAAACACAAGCACCACAAACGCTCTAAAAAAGATCATGATTCATTAGGTGCTTTGCGTAAGTTCCTTTTAAATTTTCTTAATATATTTCTTGTCATTTACTGCTTTTTAATTATATTTTTACGCGACTACTGTCATTTTTTGCCTGTGAAATAAATTCCTTTTCATATTGGCGCATTTAAGAAAATACAACTTTTTTGTCTAACTGTCTTGAGGGCTTCTTTTTGAGTTAATTAATCCTATTTGTAAAATTGTTGTTTATCAACTTTGGATTCCATAGACAATTGTGTGAATCATTCACTTCAATTACTGGTAAATTAATTGTGACTGTAAGGGGTTAACATGCTCAAATCGTAACATTAACCTTCAGATAGCCTTTTCTTTTTCGAACTTATCGTTCCTTTACATCAGATATACCACATCTCAGGAAACGCAAGCAAAAACGAACCATAACAAGTAAGATGAGACACGTTTTTACAGCAAGTTTGATTTTCTAGAGCGCTCTTTAATTCTCTCTCTCTGTTGCCCGCGATCTCTTGGCATTTATCATTTCGCTAACCTCAAGCGTATTTTTTGCGTAGCTAGCATTTATGCGACTTTATTTTGATGGCTAGGGTTTGTTTTTTCCCCTTAACTGTTTTAAATAACAATCTGCAAATTTGCCTTTCAGTAGTTTGCGCGTTTTAGGCACCCTTCCATACTATTTCACTCTCATTGATCACAGGTTGCGCGGTCGTTCTACCTGTTTCTTTTCCCACAACACTATAATATACATTTGCTGTATTGTAGTTGGTTGTATTTAATCGCTCCCAGTGGCCATTAACATGAACAGTTATTATGTTCACATTTAGATTCAGATGGCGCGGACCAGCACGTAATGTTTGTTCTTGGTGAGCACGGACAAGAAGGGGAAGTTCGCCAACCGCCTGCTTTTGTTGAATTAGACGAGTTATGTTTCGACCCGGGCTCTGGAGCTACTCCGGAATGGCGAGAAGTTGCTAGGCAAGCTCTAAATTTTTTCCCTAGAAAAAGCACACATCTGCCTTGAGTACTATTGCCTCTTTCGTAACTACAGTCCTGTGACGCGTGTCGTTAGTCCACGGAAATGTCATTTTGGCTTAACTGTTATAAAATTACGCATAATTGAGTTGCAGAATTTGTAGCCTCAAATGCAATTTGGGCAACAGTTTGTTCTTGTTGGTAATTTGGCCTTCCCTTATGACTGGCTTTGATGTTGTATTTATTTTAGTAATAGCTGGCTTGCTTGAAACTGATTTAAACCAGACTCGTCATCTTGTCGATTTCTTCTGTTCCTGATGCAGAATGTTACCTTTACTTATGTATGTTGTCCATCGCGGGACAACAAGGCACTCGTTGGGCCTTAATCGGTAGACCTCTCCGAATAATCGATTCTCAAGCTCTTTCTAATGACTTGATTGAAAACGATGCCTTTGACTGGCCTCTCCGTATGTTATCTGTCGTTTTGGGGGGGGGGGCTAGATTCCTACTTCCAAGAAACGTTTTGAAACCACGATAATTTTTTCCTTGTCCACGCGTTTATTAAGTTCAGTTCGCTACTCTCAAAAACTCAATCCTTTTTCAGTGCATTATTTATATTTGTGAAATATTTTTTTGCTTAACTACTGTAAACCGGTTGCTAGGACACATTGGTTCGTTGGAGTAAAAAGAATAATCGATTTTTTGCTGCTTTTTGTAAATGGCATACCTTATCAAATTTGTGGTTGTCGTTAGTTTAATACCCTCGGAATTCAATCTATTTGTCACGTCTGTTAGGTGAAGTGGTGTTTTCTGTTCTTTTAATGTCGGTCCGTACTCCCAACGGTCGATAATACGCCGCGTCTGGTTCTGGCTCTGCTACCAAAATTTCAACCTTTATGATTTAGCCTCCGTCTCTCCGCCATGTTTTATCACTTTTCCGTCTAAACTAAATTTTGCCTTTCCTCACATGCGCCTCTTGTACGCCCAGTCCTCTTTTACCAGTGAATAATTTGCGTTTGATCACGTCCACATGGTCTTTGCATCCCACGATCGCACCACTGGACCTTCTGATTGTCTAGCTTGCGCTCCAAGACTTCCGAAGACGTCCCTTCTTGAAGGGTCGTGCTCCATCCTCTGTCCTGAACGTCCAGCACTTGCCCAAACCCAAGCCATTCGCATAGCTTAAGACCATCCCACGAATGTCTGTTCGCATCCAATTATCATCGGGTTGTGCGTTGTTCGTGTCCTCCTCGTCCTACCAAACTACTACCTAGGGGCCTTAATTGTTATCGACAGTAAACAATGTCTGCAACAACACGAGTTTACTTGAGAGTGTGTTTACGTCTTCGTATACATTTCATTAATTTTCTCGAAACACGTGTCGTCAATGCGTACATTAGAAATACTTACCAAGTCTACGTTTGCGCGTAGACTAATCAGGATTAGGGCATTCGTACCTGTGAATGCTGTTGGGTTGTGCTGCATGCGTAGAGGCCATTCTGACTACCTTTGATGCGGTACTCATGCCTTCAAGAGTTAATGCTTCGGCCAGTCCGAGATTGCAGGGCTACTGTCCATGGTCTTCAGCAACTGCCCGTGTTTACCTTCACTCGCAATGACGTTTTAATGCATGTCAACGAGGCAATTGTGCGTGGCACATTGGATGCGTGTGCCTTCAATCATTTCTGTGGAAGGTTTCACAGTGTCTTGTGTTTACTACAAGGCGTCATTTGGGTAATTAAAATCTTCGAGTCACTAAATTGTGAAAAAAACATCCACCTTGGCACAAAAATGTCGTTTGCCGTGTTTGTTTAGGCCATTTGGTCGGTTTCACTACACAAGACGTCCAAGACGGGCGCCACAGAAATCGAATTCACGTGGAATCGAAAATTATGCAGTGAAAATGGATGTCAGAAACCACCCAAGCTAAATTCATCACTTAGTGCAGTCAAAAAATTGTTTTTTTTTCGTAGATTTTGGTTTACGGCTGTGAACTCACGTAAATTCTCTATGTTTTTTCACAAAACTCTTTTCACGTAAATAAATAATTTATGCGTCACAATCCAGGAAGGCGCGGTGCAAGCGATCAAAGTCGTTTTGGAATGGCAAAACGACGTCTGTGAAAAAGCAGTCAAATGAAATTAGGTCTGTTGCGCCCTAATTCGGGGCCAGACTGAGCCCGTCTTTTTCCTCGGCAAGGCAATCAATGACGCTAGTTTGAACGCTCGCTTTTGGCCGAGGCAATTCAGTGCGGAGTTGACGCTTCAAGTCGTGTTTAACGAGTCCCTTGCGCTTTGCGTTAATTAAAACACGGCCAAGGCTTGACCGCTTCGACCGTTTTGTGGTAATTGTCACTTTCTTGTCCGAGTAGGCCGACCAGTTGAGTGGACACAGACCGGACATATCACCGCCACCGACTTTACGACATGTTGAGTTCAGCCTCTTTATTGGACAGTTGCTAAAAGCGCAAAAGGGCCCGGCGTGAGAGAGCTGTTTTTTTACCGATGTGTTATGGAATGGTTCTGCGAAACCACAATAAGAATTACCGATCTCGTAGGTAGGCAGGTAATCAAGTAAACCGCGTTTTGGAGTTGTGGAATAGCAAATGCGTGTTGCAGAATCGGTGGAAGCCATCATAAGTGTGCGATTGAAGTCGAGTGGATGAATGCGAGAGCGTCCTGCAACCTTCTGGTTGAAAAGACGGTGGCACAAATTCCAGTGGCTTCCGTGTTGCACAGGATGCTGGGAGGAGCTGATTGTGGAAGCCAGGGAACGCCATGTTGGCGTGTTTTAAGGCCTGAGCATGGTGATTTTGAGATAGAGCTTAGAGTTAGGTCAGAGCGCATGGCATGATGTTGACTGGCCGGTGTGACACGACAAACAGTGTTGTAGCTGTAACACCTCGCTGTTAACTAGCTGCGATGACTGTTGTTTTTGTGATTTCAACCCATTGTACGTAGATGTGCCGGTATTGACTGCGTTGGTGTTGTTAGTTGAGGTGAGAAGGTGTACCGTTGGTGCTTTCCAGCCTCTGAAATAATGCGGTAGGTGCAGGGCTGAAACGCAAATTGTCATTTGCCAGATTCCCTTTAAATGATTTGTGGAGGTGGGGCTGAAGGTGTTCACCTATAACAATTTTTCCCCGATGTTGCAATTCACAAATGCACTTTTAACCCAAATTCATTGTTTCCATTCGAGCTAAATCTTGAAGTTTATTGCCAGGCACACCTTCCCTCTGACATTATCGCCTTCTGTCTTTTCTCTGAGTGTCAGCTGACTTTACTTGCCTGCCTCTCTCTGCAAGAAGCATTCATTTTCAAGTGCCGAATTGTTTTTCTTTGATGCCAAATTAAATTCTGCGTGAGAATGGCAGAAGTTTTTGGGATCAAACTTGTTTTTGTAAAGTTCAGTTAGTAATTCCAGTTCCCCACAGGATCTTACACTAATCGATAAACACTTCCTTCTAACCCGCCCTAGTTTGGAATTCGCTGCTTCGCTTCGCCAATACAACTGGTCCTGCCTGTTTTTATTCCAAGTCTGGCTCGACATGGTTGTTCTCGTTCGAAGGCACTTCTACTTGCAGGGGGACGGCGGCGATCCTACACATTCCACTTGGCAGGCTAGACCCCACCCCACCCCTCCCTGTTTACGCCCTCATGCCTGACTTGGCGCGTGCCGTCTTTTTACCTCGGCCAAATATAGTTTGTGTAGTTGCTGCTTCCTTAAGCGGTACATCACCCCCTAGTCGTGAAAACAGTAGTGCCTAATGCGCGTTTCCGCAGCGCATTCTCCTTTCTCTCAAAGAGACTGTAAGGGAGTCGACGCGGTCTACCAGGGGTTTTCGCGTCCTTCCCGCGATGCGTAGGTTTGCGTGTGTGCGTGTGCGTGTGTTTATTGAGCCATCAACGGATGCGGTGCCTAGTTAGCAGTTAAGAGTACTATTATCTGTGCACTTTTGCGCAATAGAATGACCCATTATCACCTGACGCCGATCGTTTATTTACGAATGCCCGAAATCGGTACGTTTTGTGTGCCCTGTGCACTACTGCCGCTGAATTTTCTAACATGGAAATAGGTGTCATGTGACTCTTCTGTCATCACACCTAACCCTACCTCCTCCTCATCCTCCTCCTTCTCTCTCTCTCTCTCCCCAACAGACGAAATTACTCAGCGAATGGTGAAGAAGAAGGTTCTGGATGGTGGTCTCCGCGACCAGATGCGAGAGGTACTTCTGCTGGACCACAGCACCCTTTACACCCGGCAGAAGAGACGCGCCAAGGCCGGACAACAGCTTCACATTATTCGTTCACTGGCCGAAATCGGCAAGCGACATTCGGCGAAGGATGTCAACAAGTGTAAGTCCTTCTCCATGGCGAATCTCAAGTTAGCACATGCAGCTTCAGTATCGATTGGTTTCTCCTACTGACGCGGTCCATGTCCACGCAGTTGGGCATTTTTGCTGTTTTGTAAAGGGTTATACACTTGAGTCCTGACTGTGATAATGACGTGTTTAGCAGGCTTGTATTCCGGTAGCTATTTTGAGGGGTTGCGACGTGGAACCGTTGCATTGTTGGCGCACAAATGCATTTTGCGATTTTGCCACTAGTTCTGTCTGTTGCCATCCTGAGCATAATGCCACGCTGGCCACTTAACTTCCAACCGTAATCATGCGGGATGCATTCGCGTAATTCCAACCTCGCTGATCTCCTCCGTTAAAATGTCAGTGCAGGTGCTGACAACCGTGACATTTCTTCGCCTATTTACCACCACCACCACCACCACCACCACCACCACCACCACCACCACCACCACCACCACCACCACCACCAC